CCCGGCCCGCACATCGGACGCCCCTGCGGCGCCCGGCCCCCCAGAGCGAAAGTGTGATGCTCAATGACCCCGCTTCGTTTTGCAGGTCCGGTCCAGCACGGCGGCGAGGAGAAAAGGTTGTTTTATATCAGGCCGACCTCGTACTACGACAAGCGGTTTTTGCGCTTGACGGTGAGTTGTTAAAACATATCCGTATTTTAGATTGGGGCGGTTGGGGCTCAGAGTAATGTAAATCTCATCTGTAAATCGCCGCCTGTACTTTATGGCGAGGGAACGTGGGACTCATCGGGGCTAGGGTCCTCGGTGACTTGTACCCGTTATCCACATGGAAAAAAGTGTTCCTGGCTTTGTGTCTTTGGAGGGCGAGGCTAAAAGAGGTCGTGTCGGCCGTGTGTTCGTGGTGGCGATGGCTCTCCATCGTGTTAATATGCCTTGAATTTTCTTATGTCGCGGGTGTGTATAGCGTGTTGGTATAGATCAGGGGTCGGCAACCTATGGCACCACGTGCCCAATGTGGCACGCAGCATGGTTTTATTGACATGTGCCCAGATTGAGCAGCACATAGCTGCCTGGGAACAGCCTTGTGCTGCTGCTGACCCCTGCCACCGCTGGGCCTCAGCCCTGGAACGGCCCCGGCCCCGGCCCCAACCCCACGCTGCTGGCCACGTGCCACCGGCAGGCCCCAGCTAGCACCACCCTCATCACCACTGCGGGCCCAGCACAGCGCTACTGCCAGGTCGGGGCCATTGGCAGCGTCGGGATGGGGCTGGGGCCATGGACCTGCACAGGACCCAGCCCCATCCCGGCACTGCTGAAAGTCCCATCCCCGTGCTGCCAGTGGGCCCTGGCCCTAGCTCCAGCCGCAGTCCCATGACGCCCACGGCCAGGCTCCAGCCTCACTGCCCATGGGCCCCGGCTCCAGCCCCACACTGCCCACAGCCCCGGCCCCAACGGGCGCAGTGCTGGCACTTGCTGTCTTCCCGGAGCCCAGGGCTAGGAGACAGCCACAGCCGGGGCAGGGAGGCAGCAGTTGTTTGCAGCCTCCCAGCTGCAGCTGGCCCAGGTTCCTAGTAGCTGCTGATAGCCATGGAGCCTGGGCTGCTTCCAGCAGCCAACTGGGAGGATGGAAGGCCTGCTGCAAGCAGCCTGGGCTGCAGCTGGTTCAGGTTCTGGGTAGCTGCTGATAGCCACAGAGCCTGGGTTGGGGTGCAAGGGGCAGCAGGCCTGGGGGCAGGGGCAGCAGGATTACGAGCACAGCTGAGGGGCAGGGGCTTTGGGTGGGGGGCAAGGGGCACAAGCAGGGCATCCTGCCACGTACCCCCTGCCTTACTTTTGTTTTTCTGGCATGCCAGCACTCTGGCACCTTCCAAGGTAGGCATCGTGGGTTTTTCGGCACTCCAGCCAAAAAACATTGCCTACCCCTGGTATAGATAATACGAAGGAACCGTTTTATTGCAGTTGGTTAACTACGGTTATTTTTGTAGTCACTGAAGCTGCTGACAGACATGAAAAAACAAAACAAAACAGCACTTTACCGGAAGAAGAAGCGTGTTAGTTCAGGCCAGCTCCCTGGGTTGTATAGCACCTGTATTAATTGCGTTTCAATGGGACTTTTTGGCACTTTTATCTAAAGCTGATTCAATTGGCTGTTAGATAAGCACCAAAAAGCCTTGCTGAAGTGCCCGATCTATATGGACGGGTGAGTCGGGTCAAACTGACGTTATGCCTCTTCTGGGCACGCACTGTGCTCAGTGCAGAGGTGTGCTGAGCATAAAGCGCTGGGTTTTTGGGAGGGGGAGAAGGTTTCACATGCAACCTGAGTTTAAATCCTTTTGCATACTAACACTTATTTTCCACGTTTCCACAAGTCTTAGTTTTTCTATGTTGGGTCTTATCAAATCTATTCCTCTTGCAGTTCAGGACCCCTTTCTTACTGTTGCTATTTTTGTTCTTGAGGTAAATAAAGCATACCTTCCTTATCCCCAGGCCACTCATACCAGAGATTTAGGCTCAGTAGGTGTGATTCTGAGTTCAGACACGGGGGCGGCGGGGGAATTGTCTCTGGCTCAGGTCCAAGATGAGGAGAAAACATCCAATCAAATGGGGCTCCTTGTAAGCAGAAACAAGGGTCGTGTAAAATATCAATCCTGCACTTGTGGGGGGTGGTTTCTGAAATGTATTTTAAGTTATTTTTAGTAAACTTACTGTTAGTGTTAGAGGAACACTGATAGATTGGTTGCCTGTCAGATCAGTGCTGAGAAAAGGGAAATTTACATTATTGGTTATCTGCTTTTTTTGGCCGTTGTAATCGATAATGCTTACTGATAATTACGCCTTCTGGCCAGAGCCCTGGACATCTGGCTTGCCGTTCCCCCATGGGGCTGGGGCCCAGGATGCCTGGGTTCCCTTGGGAAATGGCGGGTTTCCCCTTGCAGGCAGGCAGTATTCTAGCCTGCAAGGGGTCCTGCTTTAGGCTGCCAGGAGCCAGACGCAGGAGCTGCTTCGTGCAAATGTGCGACCGCACATGTGCATGTGCCCAGAAGCACAGGGAGCAGCTCTTCGCAGGTAAGTCTGGAGGTGAAGGGCCATGGTGGGGAGGGGGGCAGATTGAGGCCCCCAAGGTGAGGGAGAGAGTGGGACTGGGGGCGCTGCCTAGCCAGGCCGGTGCATGGGACCTGGGGCCAGGGTGGGGAGCGGGATGGAGCCACAGGCAGCTTGTCCAGGTGTTGTGGGGGGGAGGGGTGGCTGCCTACCACTTTACCT